CAGGGTACATTCAAGTACTCAATGAGTACAATCCAAACCAACAAAAAAAAGTTAGATTTTTCAAACTTCGATGCCAACTTCACATAGCTAAATTTTCGGCATCACTTGAATATTTCTCGCTTTTTTCTCTCTCTCGTGTACTGCCCCTAAGAAGTCACAATCTGCCAAAATTCTGGTGCGGTTCAACTGAACTCTCTGCAAGTTTTAACTTAAACTCATAATTTCTCTTAAAATTTCTTTCAACAAATCTTGCGAGACAGTTCCATCAATACCACCAGAAATTTTCTAAAGAATTTCTCTCCGCATAGTGCGACAAAAAGTAGCAAGAAGTGCAGCAGAAATGTCCGGAAAAAATTCACGAGTCTATATAATTTTAAGAGCGAATGGGACACGTGCGATGTTGTCTCGAAATGCATCAACTTTTTTTAAATTCACAACGCGGTGTGTTGGCCTATTTTATTTCGCGAAAATACCCGGCCCCAGATGAAAAGAGCCACCCGTTGACTACAGTACGAGGAAGAGTGCAAAAGAGGAAGTAGAAAGAAATAAAAAAAAAAATGAGATCTTTTGTCGTGAAATAGCGCTCACCCTCTATGTTTCACTCGCCTCTAATCTTTCTTTTTTTTGTTGGATTTTTTCGCATGTGAATAAAACGAACTCTTTCGGCGAGTTGCGCTGGTGAAAGAGGTCGTCTGTAATCCTTTTCCATCTGGCCAGTTTCAAATTCAATGTATTTTCACTTTTAATTATCAATTAAGTAATTGAGAGAGTGCATTATTGTTGCGTGCCTGGGGACGGCTGGCTTCGCCCTGATTCAACAATTCATTTATTGTTAACGAGGTGTTTTAACTATTTGAAAATACAAGAATTTAATGGCCGCCGATGAATATTTGCTAATGGCTGGAAAATAATGAGTCGAGGCATTCTGAACTTCATTTGCCAATAATAATGGTTTGAAATTTAAAAATTAAACAGACTAATTAATTATTGAAAAATTCATTTGGAAACGAAATTTTCAATTTGCGAATTCATTTTTGATACACATTCGGAAAATCTCCAGGTTTTCAAGTCTCTTTTTTTTTCAATTTTAATTATTGGTTTGTTTATTTTCGCATAGAGGTGGATATTGGGGGAAAGTTGATATTCTCGAAGGGTCGACTGTCAATGAATGTTGTCAGGTGCAGTTACCGATAGATGGTAAAGGTTTGAAGCCCGTGAAGCAACGAACAGGAATTGGGATGGAAAGTGGAAGTTTAGCTGTTGGCGCGGGAAACTGAAGAGGGATCCAGGAGGTAGTGAAAGTTTGTTATGGTCGTTTGACTGCACATTTATCGGAAAAACTACGCACATGCATTGAAACTTCGGAAAATACAAAAGGAAAATTTTAAAGAACGCATGCAGACTAAATTTATTGAATGAGAAATGACATTTTCCGCATCAGCAACATTTTATTAAACATTTTATTAAAATCTACACGATGCGACTACATGTGCAGTTAACGACTAATTCTTGAGGAAATTCGATTTAGCAGTAAAGTCCTTTTCTTCCCGTGAAAATCGCAGATCGGGCCCTTGTACCTAATGTACAAAATTTGTTCTCTATTTCATTATTATTTCTCGCCTCTTCATCATCAAGTTCGGTTTATCTTTATCTTTATCTTTTTCAATTTCTTTTTCAATTCCTAACTTTAAATTAATTAATATGCCTCTCCAAAAAATTCCTATGAAATTATGAAATTTCATGAAAGTCTTGACAATTCACGTGAAATTGGTTTCTACACTCAATGAATAATAATTACCGCCTGCGCGTTAATTATTTTTCACGGAATGCTCATTTCAATTTTTTAAGAAACAGTGTCGTCGTTGCCCGTAACACTGCAATTATTGCTTTCTTAATTTTTGAAATTGTTGACGGGTGTTGAGGGGTAAAGGGGGGGTATATTTTTCAATTGTAAAAAAATCGTGATTAAAGGCTGGACTTTTAAATACGAGGGGAAGGAAAAGCGCGGCGGATGAAGAACGAATTGTGTGGAGGGGGGTAATACTTGAGGCAGGTCATGTTGCCATGATGGCCGCAAAATTACGCAGTTGCCAGGGAAACGGCGTAGGTGGGCGACACGCGGTTGCTAGGGGGTGGAGCTTAACTTGAACCGCGGCCATCATGAATTTCAACTCCAACAATTACCGACATCTGGGGGAGAAACGGTGAACCCAGCTGACTCCTTTGCCGCCCATTTTTCAATGATTTTCTGCCATTTTTCTTATTTGAGTGATTTCTCTTTCATCTGAGCTTTATCCGCGGGATTAATTTTTTTTTCCATAATTTTTTTTTTATTCTGAAAATGAGGGGAAGAATTGAGTACCCGGGATTGGAGGGATTGTTTTGGATGCTGAGGATTTCCCTCGGAATGAGATTGGTGGGGTCTCTTGGCAACAGTCCTCACGTGCACGTGCATTTCTGAGGTACTGAGTAAAGCAATTATACATTGAGACTGACAAAGCCGAGTTTACGCAAGACGGCACTGAAATAAGATACCACCACGATCGATGTTAATTACGATAAGTGGAGACTCGCTGTTATATGTGGTTTATATCCAATATTTTTTTGATAATTCAATTGTCTGGGATCAATTAAGGTGGGGTTGAGAAATATTGATGTGAAATTATGATGAAAAATTTGTAAAGGAATTTGTAGCGGAAATTTCAGCAATTTTTTTAAAATGTGCTAATGACCCTCAAAATTTAGAAAATACTTTGGATCGGTTAGTGCGCGCATCTCATATTACTTGCCAAATATATTTAGTGTGCATGTACATGCAGATATAACGAGTACCGAGTACTAAACCGAGCGTGCGAATCGACCCACACCTCTTCCTTCTTTTATCTTTCTTGTTTTTTCCACCTCAACCGCCTTCACCTCTCAACCTACTCCTTCGCCATCGTCGTCGACTCATGAATAATTTATCGTAATTGCAATTATATACAACTTCGTACTTATTCATAGACGAACCATGTAAACACTCGTACAGACGCTAGGCGCGTTGGCCAGTCTGGTAATATGAAAATTTTTTATGAATTTGCTTCGTTATTTCTGAGGAGGAGAAAATTACTATTGTCTGGGGAACAGCAATTTGCCTTCCGGAAGCCATGCATTTATGATTCATTAGTGTCATTCGAAGTACATAATTTTGGTTGTTTCTCATTTGGCGGTGGGGGGTAAAACGTCTTCACATTAGTCTCTAATTTCGATTTAAGATCTCAAAAAAAAACTTGAGTGAATTCTAGATCATTTTGGCTTGATTCAAGTTAAATGTGTCGATCAATCTACATTGCGTATCGGATATGAATTTTAATCTATGGTATATAATCGATTTAAATCAGCCTAAAGTTTAAACTTAAATTAAATAGAAAGACTTGACTTGAATTAGCATGAATAATTGAGTAAAATCAAATTTAAAAATCTGCTTCGATCGATATGATCGAGTCTCCAATTCAACTCGATTTATCATGTCGATCCGAATATTGTGAAGTATCCCCATTCAACCTTTAATAATAAATTTTGAAATTGTCTTGTTGACAGGTTCTCGTCGAGTACGACGACGTTGAATGGCAGAGACGGGAATGGCTGTCACCCCACCGTGATACTGTGTTCTCATTTTTTCTGATTGAGAAGGGCCTCTGCTGGTCAGAGCGACCGGATCCACGACAAAATAATCTTCTAATTGATCAACACTACAATCACACAAATAATAATCACCAGCATCGTCTAAATGGCAAATCAATTCGAAGCACAACCACCAACACCAGCACCGTTGCTTGGCCTGCAATCGTAAGTTGTCCATCTTCATAATTTTATTGAATTCACCAGCTCTAGCTAGTTGGATTAATTGACGGGGAAAAAGGAGAATTATGGTGAAACGGAAATGCCAGTGATTCGCATGCGATCCACCGAGTTGGCTCCCACGTGCCTTCACTTCTAATCGTAATTAGATATTTAATTATCCGAGCATATCCCACGATTCATACGCCTACTGGCTCTAGTTTAACAGCGAAAGTTTAGCAATTCGTGGAGATTTTTATTAATTTTCATCATCTTCTTTTCTGTGAACGATTTCATATACTCTTTTCATATATTTTTCAAAATATTAACATTCCAAGTGGACAAGTCTGAAATATTTTTATCTCGTTATCGGTGCACTACAAGATTTAACTTCATTTATAAAATGTCACAATTTCGGAGAGCGTTTGCTAAAGTGGACCTATTCGTTATCTAAAATCGTAATTCATTCATCATTATTGACGTAAATCGGTATCTCTTGATTCTATAATGACTTTAAAATGAGGTGGAATCATGATCACTCGGTATGAAATTGCAGGCTGTCCCGAATCAAATGTTTGATCCCCATGCGATTGGTAATTGCTTTTGACTCATCACATATTCAAGCACTTGACTAATGACTGATTAAATAATGACATTATTGGATTCGGATAATTGTACCGTTCGAGTTTTACTGAAATATCTGACGGGATCCCTTGGTGCTTTAGTATTCGGCATTAATTTTATACTTTTTTTTCGCTGATGGCGAATGACGATTCATTTACTCAATTGCAGAGCTTTTATCCACTCGTATCGAGGGCTCAACTCGACGAGGACATGATGCCCGTGGAATTCATGCATGACAGGCGATTGGAATTTGTGGATTACAGTACACTTCGACCTTTCACTGTAAGTAGAATTTTATTCATCCATTGAATACTGACGCGGATTAAAGGGACTTGGGGAATATTAAAATGAGTCAAAAAATGATTCATCATTTTGACAATAATATTGCGATCTAGAATTATTGAACAATAGGGCGTGAACGTGTTTACTTATCGGATATTTCTTGGTATTTAGGTGTGATTTGTCAACTCTGTTTATCAATTTAGTAATAGTTTTCCATTTGCATGGCTATCTTCGTCTTGGGCAGAGAAGCCCGAGTTTTATTGGTGTACACAGGGTTTCAGCAGTGAATTGTTTCCAAGTAATTAAACTTTCGTAAAACTTGTACTGTTGGAAGTCGGTCGATGATGGTGGGAAACTCTGGCTCAACTCTAGACCTCGTTAGTTCTAAGCTTTCATATTCAAAAGTTTTCAGATCATCGAGTTATCCTCAACTCGGTATGAATTTCCTACGTTAAATTTTCCCTTTTCTAATAGATAAATAATCATCAAGGTGCCTTGCGATAAGACCCGATATGAATTTCAAATAATCGGAGATACTCAAGATATCGGAAACTCAATAAAGTACTCTTATTGAATTTCCAATCACCATGATTGATCATTATTTATCAATTTCTCTCTCAGCGATGAGATGAGAATGCCGAGTCCCTCGGAGCACGGTAATAAAACATTAAATTAGCAAATAGCCTGCTGATAGATCCTTGAAGAAAAATCAATCATTATTCCACACTACGTTGAAATTCATCTGGCAAAACTTTCACTGTGAAAATTTCCATGTATCAAAGTCCGACGACCCTGAACTATAAACGGCATTCTACCGTCTTCCAGGCATCGTTTAACCATCTCACAGTCACGTACACACACAATCACAAAATGGAACTTGTTCATTGCATGTTTTTTTTTTCTCCTGGTTTCTCTCCTCCTCTCCTCTAGCCCGGGCTGCAGCAAGAAATCGAGTGCACGAGTAACTTCTTTTTGCTCTCGCTGTCCTGGCAGCTGTGAGCACAGTTCACCTTATTCCATCTCACTTGTACTCAAAGTGGTAAAAAAAGACGAGTTGCAATGCTGGAGAATGGCCAAGACCAGAGGCGCCAACATATTCCTCCGTTTTCCAACGTAACGGTCCTTGGCAGACTATCATTGCCCATCGGGTCACATGTCTCGATAAACTTTTTCTTTATCAAACTAGATCATTATACGATTTATCGTGAAATTCTTGGTTGCTATCATTACCGAATTTTCAGTCTTGGTAATGGGTGGAAGCTGATGAAATTGATCAATTCTGGAAAATAAACTTTCAGCCCTTGAAGTTTAAATCCCTCCTCTCAGATTCTGACGAACTTTCCAATTACCCGATAAATTCAAAACTTTCCTGATCAAGACGAAGCATCTAGCCCCATCGCCCGCAAACTGTCTTCTTCTGAAACTTCTTTGAAACTCCTAAAAGTCGACTTTCTTCGGTAAAGTTTGATCGATCAAGGCAACTTTCTTCGGGCTCTTGGTGAATAGTTTTATCGAAATCGTGACTGAGCGTCGTAATTCATCCCTGACGAGCTACCATTCAAAATCAGTTGGGATTTTATCGCTCCCTCCGTCGTGCGAATGAATTCTCTCGAGTAATTACGAGCTTTGGGAATTGTTAGTGAATGGAATGTAAATTCCCATTTTGTGGTTTTTATTTATACAGCAGGACTGGGAAATCACAAAGAGTTCAGTGCCATGGGCAAATGCTGTGAGACGATGGGCTGAGATGCAGGATGGCCAGAGAATACTTCTGACCACACCGAGTGTACTGGTGGGTTTCAGGGTCGAAGTTTATCGTGCTGAAGGTACAACGCAATGGTACACTGCTGTTATTGTCGGTTACAACGAGTCAACCAAGGTAAACAGCGTATTTTCATGGGACGAGTTCGTTGGGTTACGTAAAATATGTTTATCTGCCATTTAGGATTTAACGGTGACAGATGACACAGTTTTGGAGGACCATAATGAGGACCCTGGGCTCGTTCAGATGCGGCTCATTGGGGATGGAGGTCAGTTTTATTTTATTTTATTCATTCTTTTCAGGGGCGGGGGAATTTTATGGGCCTCCACTTTGAGATTGAATTTCTTTCAATATCAAAATTATCGAAGTAAATTTATTCGGATATCTCTGAATACAGTGAAATCAAGTAAAAATAGTAATGATCTTTCTCAATTCAGACGAATGTATAATAAATTCATTGAACTAGTATTAATAAGAATAATCCCAAATATTTCAGTAACCTGAGCCCAGTAAAGCTTGAGTTATTTCTGATGTAGATATCAATTTTGGAAACAGTCACCCAGAAAATCTGTCAGATTTAATTTATCGAGTTTCAATCAAATAAATCGAAATGAACCGCAATAGAGACGTAAAAATTGTAGTGATTTAAAAATTGAGTTGATGAACAAAATAAAAGAAAAATGATTGAGGGAAATAAAATTCCGAGGATTGGTATCATCAGACGAATCTAAATTCATTGGGCGAGTAATAATAAGTAATTAAGAAAGTCCGGGTTGGATTGCTTGATAAATATGATTAATTCGATAATTGCAGTGGTGGAGAGTATCATGAGGGGCGAGGTTGTCGGCATGACGCCGAGGAGGTCGAGGTCGTCGACTGGCCTGATGACGCACGCCATCGTTGTGGTGAGTTGAACATAAACACGATTTTCCCATACATTTCCTCACTCCATTAATTCCATTATACTTATTCATACCGTTAGAGGTATCACCAATTATCGGATATTCCTGATTCTCTAATCACGAATTGAATTGAATCACGAATTTCCCCTTTAATGGCCGACCACTCAGTGTGTTAGACCAACACGATAATTCTGACGGTCAAAAATATCACAGTTACTACCGAATTAATTGAATTTACTTGACTCTTCTGACTCGCTGGAAGATTATAAATGGGAAAAATCGATTATGTCAATTGACAGTGGAGATTAGTTGCGATGCGCCTCCACTCGGTTCACCATTGTGCTTCTGACGAATTATTTATGAGTATCACTGATTCGCCCGCGATTCGTGAATTATTTGTGGACCTCTCCCACGCTTTATTCACATAATTATTGGTGAATTTTTGAAGATATCAAGCATCGTTAGTCTCTTCCCGTCGTTCAACCAAGTTGAAATGCCACGAAAATAATTCAGAAGTGGAGTTCGGTATTTATTGATTGCCAAATGAATTTTATCTCTTGTTTCGGGATGTGTTCTCTCCGTGGAATTATCCGAGCGAATTTGAATGATGGGTTCAGTTTTAATTCGTGAAATCAACTTTGGTAGCTTCAGTAACTAATTGTATATGAATTCCCCCGAAAAAGACAGTTCATTAATTGGAGGAAAAAAATTATAGAGTTTCAATTTTTTTTGTAGATTAAAAAAAGTCTCGTCTTTAAGGGATGAATTTTTAAGAAGATTCATTTAATTAAATATTTTCATTCAAAATGGATTTTTTCTAGAATATTTCTCAGATAAAATTCATGGATTAGCTTTTAATGAATTCATCATCTCCTTTTTTTAATGCTAAATCATTCATTCTTGGGCGTTAAATATCCTTCAGATTTCAATGAATCAATAGTTCATCGATAAATGATAATGAATTCTTAATGAATTCCATTAAAAAGTGACAGTAATGAGAAGCTCTATTTTTTATCAAATTAAAAATACTTTTGAATTTCCTTTTTCACAACGCGGATGATTCCGATTCTGAGCGTGAGTCTCTAAAATTTAGATCCCATTAAAAAAAATCGCGGTATTCGTCAAATTTTGGGGAGGAATTTATTAGAAAATATGTCATTGACTGACACATTGACGATAACATCCGAGACGAACGTAAACATGGGAAAATCACTTAATTCCTAGCGGGACTTTTGGATTGTCGCCAATTTCAACTCCATCATATTCTCGAAGACTCCTCAAGTTCACTCGAACAACTCTTGTAGCTTGAGTTTCTACGATACCCAAAAAGCATCTGAAACTCTGCTACAGGTAAACTCGATGGGATCAGCCAATTGAAAAGTAAAGGGGTTTAAACTCGAAATGAGATACTCTATCGAGCGTACAAACGGCCAACGGTACCCGAAAACTCCTCGAGCTCGTTATAAACAAGTCATCCCGTTGGCTATTTGCATTCGAATACAGTACCTCCCCAGTCGTACCGCAATAACAACAATTCCCAGTGTTTGCAGGAGTTCAATGAAAACTTTGCGATTGAAAAGTTTTCAATTGCCGTGTCAACCCATAAATTTTTCCAAACCACAAAAAAATACCAGAACAAAGTCGAAATAAAAAAATGGGGAAAAAAAACGAAAAAAAAAATGGTGTAATAAATACGCGGGGTAACAAAGGACTGATAAAACGAGAACAAAAGGACGAGTGAAAAGAAATGATGGGAAAGAAAGGTAAATAGAGGAATGAGTGAGGGGGGAATAAAAATAAAATAGCCCAGGGACAAGAATGCGCAAGTGAAAGGGAAGTTGCGGAGAAGGGGTTGGAGAAAATTCAGACAAGTGGTGGATTCGTATACACACGTATAATTCAGACAAGTAGTTGAAAGGGATTTTAGGGGTGTGTTTGAAGGAGGGAAAAAACAAGGAAGCTTCAAGGATCAGCGTTAACGGGGTAGTAGTCTTGGTATTAATGCAAGGGTGAGGGGGGGGCTTTGAAATAGTGGAAAAGGGGGTTAGAATAGTTAAAGGGGTGTGCACGAATGAGTGGGTGAGGGTAGGGCGGTGGCGGTTGGTAGCTGTATTGATTCGCTGAGGGTGAATGGGGGGGAGACACACCCCCGCCTGCGTTGGCCGGGGTGACGTGACTCTCCTCTACCCCCAGTGCTTCAACGACCTATCACTTTCCTTCTCGCTTCAACTCATCGATCCTCTCTTTACCCCTTGCCTTTCATTCTATTAGAACTCGCCTCATCTAACCCCCATGCCGATGTACTTCCTCGTCTTGTGTTTACATCCGCTGACTAATAGCTATCGTGCACAACTCTCCCATCTCCCTCTCGACCCCCTTTCCACTCGCTAACTCGTTTTCAACTCTTTGGCAACGATTTTCCCAAGGGGGTTGCAAGGAGATGGGGATATTCAAGGACTCTTGGATTTTTTGCCAACTATATCTGAGATTTCGGTTCAGCTGGCATTTATTCTGCTCATGCTCGCGTTTCAGTCTTGTTTTTCGGATATCTCGAAGTAGGTAGATCGTTCTTTATTCATTTGTGCTACTTTTATAGTTGTACATCTCGCCCTGTGGTATCTTCCTCAAAATATCGGTATTCGAATATATTCGAAACATAAAAAAATTCAGGGGAATAATAATTTTTGAGAGACAGGGAAACTTTAAAATTCATATTTTGAATTATTTTCAAATTTTAGTTGTAAGTGGAAAAGGCCAAACTGTCGACGCCACTTGAGTATCTTTAATTGTTATTCCTTCCACGAGGTCAACCTAAAGCTCGTTATTTTTTTTTTATCTGGTTATCGTCACCTGTATACCCCTGTAATTTATGAACGCATCGACATTCCAGGGTGGCTCACGGTGGGGTGAATAAATTGAGCAACAATGAGATAACGAATGCGAGACGAATTCCAGAGGTTTGAATAGAGAAATTCTTTGGGTTTTTCACCCATTCGCTTTTTTTTCCCCACCCATCTCATCACGTTCAACCGGTTTCTGGCACGTTGAAGGCTATGTCCGGACGCGTTATCATTTATTTTTGCTCGAGGAGAGGGGAAAATAGGGTGGAGGTGGCCTTCGAGGTGGGGATGCAGACGATCCTCGGGTTTTGATGTCCATGTGTAGGTTGGAGTAATTCCGGGCTCCCTTTTGCCCTCCCCTCTACCCAATACCGTCTCGCTTGTGTCTGTTGTTGAATCTACTGGTGTATAATCTATAATAGGGATGGAGGGGGTAGATATCAGGGGTAGAGGCGCCATCCAACCCCTTGTCGCTCTGGAGAATGTGTTTGTACGCTTTTGCTGGAGATACCCATTCGCACACAGACGCAATCTGTCCCACCTGTTTGTGTGGTAGTTCGGACAAAGTTTAACGCCAGAGTTGACCGAACTCGTCGAGAATCAAGTCCACAGTGTTTGGCGAGGGAAATGAATCAACCGGAGGCATTTTTCGGTCCACTGGTAGGACAATTTTCCAATTTCAGGGACTACTATTTTTAAGAGAATGAGACTGCACGCACATGATTGGCGATCTAAAAATTCAATCAATTTTTAATTCAAGTTAGACGTTTTAGACAGCTGTGATGTTTTCGAGATAGGGATAGTTTGCAAGTTCGATCTGTCTGTTCTCTTTAGAGTAGAATCCGCTCGCATAAAAAATTCTTAGCAGAAACGCTGAGTGAAAAATAGGTAGCATTGGGTGGGAATTGTGCGAAAAATTAAAAAATCGATGTTTCCTCAGAGTTGTGTTACTATTACTTACGTTTTTCGGTAATAATTTCTGAATTGCCAATACGTTATATGCTAACCAAGCGTCAGGGTAAATTTTTCTTGAATTTTTGAATTTTCAATGGGAATAGCAAATTATCATACAAGTGAAAAAAAATAGTTTTTGACGAGTGTAGGACTCTCGACCCTAATTGAAGATGAGGACTCTAATTACAAGCGTCAAAAAGTCTTTTTGTTCACATATATCGTGCAAAATTTGACGATGCCGGTGAGAAAAGGGCAGTTCTTCGCACGCAAAGCCTGCAAAAATGCGCGGTTTTTTCACTTGTATCATAAAATTCCTTGAAATTTCAGTAAAACGATAAAATGATAAAAATTTCCAAGAAGCGTACTGGAAACTTCAGGCGAAAATTTTGAACTTTGTGGGGGGTAATAATGATAATTATGGTACTTTCCATCGAAACATTTCGAATTTAAACCCTGGGAACGATAATGACGGGTCATTTTTCCCCGTCGAAATTGTAAATCGCTGCAACTCGTTATGTCATCAATCCTCCCTCATTCCGGTTTTATTAAAATACGGTACCCCAATTGGGGGCGTGTGACCTCATAAATTAACTTTCACAATTACAAAAACTTGAGTTATGCTCCCCGAGGATTCGTTAATCTTTTCGAGAGTTCTGCAGAGGAAAATGTAGAAATTCGGAAGTGAAATATGAAGGTCTTCAGTGGACGAGACTGACAACGCGAATTGTAAACAGGAATTGATAAAGACCAGAAAAATATCTCGAGACAAAATTTCAATCTTGCAGCAGACATTTATCAAAATATTTGCGAATAATCGATTTTCCTTCAATTCTATCACCTGCAATGAATAAATTAAATAACTTCATTATAGACTCTACTAAAATCAAGTCCATTAATCCCCTCATTTTATCTAAAATATTCCGGACTCAAATATCCTTTTTTCACGATCAATATCGAAGTGAAGTTCTGAACAAGCCCCATAAAATGTTAATCCCCGTAAAATTCGAGTTATTACAAAAAGAAAAACCGGAATATCCTCAGACAACTGGAATTTCCCTATTTCATTGGATCACTATTCGCACACTCCTAATAAAAACCCCGCTCTCCCCTTCTGGCAAAAACCGAAAACCCCACTGTTATCTGGCTGGGGATCCTCCCCAGTTTGCAATATTATGGTTCGCACGAAGCGGTGGGTTCGGTGTTACTCCACATCCCCAGGAACCCGAAAATGCATGTGTGTGAGATGCGTCTACGCTAACAGTTAGACAAAGAGGCAAATGGAACACGAGAGAAGAGGTTGTGTACGGCGAAGAGGGTCGGGTTGAGGAGGGGATCGGGGAGGGTGGTGAGGGTGGAAGAGGTTGAAGAGGAGGAAGGGGAGGAAGGGTGGTAAAAAAAAAGGAGCCGTTGGGGGGGGGAGGAGGGTATGGTATATGGTCGCGCCGACATGGCAAAGTGTGTGCGCGCGCGGGGGTCATCGTCGTGGCGTTTCGAGTTGGCAAGTGGTGGTGGGGGCTTTTATATTCTCGCTCATTGCGTTTGTGTAAGTCGATTGGTCGGGCGGGGGTGGGTGGGGGGTGTTGTCGGGAGTCGGGTCGGGTGGAAAGGGGTTGGTGAGCGACGGGGGGGGAGAAGCGGGTGCCCTCGAGCCTCCCACAGTCCCAGTAGACGGCAGCACTGCGGCCCGCGCGTATCGCAGTTCACGTCCCAGCGACGTTTTAACAATCACGGAGTGTTTCCAGGTTTTTTTTTAATGAAAATATAATAGGATAGTACGAGGTGGTATCGATAATTGAGGTGGAGGATATTGAGGATATTGTGAGGGGATTTATCGATTTAAGGAGTGTGATATTGTCGGTGAGGATCGGGCTACTGGGGCAAATCTGGTGATGATCAGTGATATTCAGCGTGCGTGCTACAGCACTTTTTTTCGCCGTCATTAATCAAGTGGTGCGTATTTTCCGGGTGGCTCTTTCCCATGTTTTGGGTGTTTTCTATTTTCTTTTGTTTTTTTTTGTCTTCTTTGTTTTTATCATGGGGTACTTTATCCACCCGTGGATATCCGCACGCGTCCAAGCTCTCTGGGGGGATCGATATCCTCGTGATTTTCCGGGGGCTCATGAATGGCCATGTTTCTACCCTTCTTTATTCCCTCCTCCAAGGGATTGGCGTTTCAGGACGGGATCAGTGTCTCTGCAATTATTTTTTTTTTTTACGTCGAATCGATAGCTACTAGGGATTTCGCACTGTGAAGTATTGGGCTGGCTTTTCGTTTTTTTTTTCATCGAATTGGGATAAAGCACGTACTTGAGCAGCTTGGAGGGGCGATTGGCGATTTATCGGGTGTTTCAAGTATTCGGAGAATGGGAATTGAATTCCGGGGATTGGGAAAGGGCCACTGGGAGCGCATTTGACGTGTGTGACAAGTGTAAAACCGGATATTACTGGTGATTTTTTTTTTTCTTCTTCTCTCGATAGTGTGGTGCATCGTTATCAACGGGGTAGAGACTGATTGATGAGAATAAGTGACGGGTGACCCTCGTTGACCCACGGATAACACTCAGAGGGGGAGACACGGATCATTATTAGTTTAAAAATATTAAAGACGAGGCAAGTGGCACGGGAAAAAAAAACGAAAGTAAGTTGAAGCCGTGGACCAATCACGCCCACTTCAACGTTCATCCTCTCTTTTTCGTTGTTTTATTTATTCACTTTTTTTTTTACATTTTATTTGTCGCGACGATTTCACACACATGTCTGGGAATAAAAAGGGAAAACACGAGGGAATGGGTGGCATGACGACGCGGGGATAAATGTTATCCATCATGGCGAAAATTTTCGAGTGTTGGAGTGCGTAGGTGAGGGTTAAGGGGAAAATATCGAATTACCGACGTGCGACACTCGAATAACCCCGTTCAATCGATCCACCCAATAGAACACCCCCACCTCCTCCCCTTCCCCTTTGCCCTCCACCCACAAGCCACTTACTCTCTTGGATAATGCTACCAGACAAATGATTCATTCAAATCAGATAAAGATGTTTGAAATGATGATCTGAAAATCCCGACTCGTTTCAGAAAATTTTTTTATTTAATCAATTTCTTCGAAGAATTATTTTATGATTAAAAAAAAGTATTTTCATATACTAATTTCATTAAATAAAGATTTGCTGGTAATAATAAAAATTATTTAGTACTAATGAGGTAAACTTATGCACTTGAGTTGAGTGAATCATTTTTTTGGAATGCAGTCACGAATTAGTCGACGTGGCGGTAGAGAATGTGACATTTGTTTATGCATTTTTATTTTTAACCGTAGGGTATTTGATGTTTTGAAGTAGGCTTTATCTTTCTTCGACTCTCGTAAATCTAGTCTTATGATTTCCGCGGTATTTTCATTTTCCGTGAGCCCATTGCTCTCAGACTTGTGTGAAATTATTCAGAGCCCACACGAACTAAATCCCTCGCTTGATTCAATAAACGTCGAAAGGTTAAAGTCTGGAGCTGAATTTCAATATTTACACGATGGAGATAAGCCTGTTTCTTATTTTTTGTTCTTATTCTGTTCTCTCGTCGCGTCAGTGAATTATTGGATAGAATATTTTCATGATTGGTGGGATAGGTATTTTGAGGTGCAATTATGGGTCTAGTACGTCGAGGCAAGTTGCATGAATGCAAAGTGTAGCTGGATATAACCGGCGGAATGCAGTGCAGTCCTGCGACGACAGTATCAGGGTGTAAGGATGGCGAACCAGAGGGTGGGCAAGAACCTTGGCACTTGGCCAATCGACTTTAACCCCAATTTGCTGTAAAATCCGAATGGAGACGCATCTTAAATTCACCCTGGCAATTTGTCGTCTCGACTTCTACGAGGGGAAACTCGAAACTCTTAGTTTTTAGGCGAATAACTGGCAGCTTGCGTTTATTCGCATGCTACTTTGGGTGGTTACCATTTTTTTAGCTATTGCTGAATTTTTTCAGCTCTCAGTCATATTTTCATGGGAATTGTCAAGGGAGAATTACCTGCTTATTTTTGGGGGTAGCTTTCAGGCATTTTTCTTCACGAAGAGGAAAAGTATTTTTTAAAGACGATAATCAATATTATTGCTGTTTAGAGTTGTATCGTGTTTTTAATAGCTATATCGTGCGCCTCGGTGCCACGTGGAAAGCGAGGCGTAGTGAATTATCATTTGTGTTTTCCTTGACTTTTTTTTTTCCTGGTATTTTCCTCGGTCGCGGTATCGCATTACTCCATACATACATTCCACCTCTTTCCCCTGTCTCTCTGGTTGAGTTTATTTATCCCGGTCGTCTCTTGCACGCTCGGCGTCCCGTTTATCTGCACTAATAAATGCACGAGTCGAACAAAGCCGAGTGTCGTTGTCATGGTGGAGACTGGAACGGGTGGTGGGTGGAAGTGGGAGGAGAACTTTTTTAAATGTACACGAAGGTGGAAGGGAGAGTGTTTGTACAGGGTATTGCGATTGTGTGCGGATGAGCCTCGGCGATTGTATATGCAATGGGGTATCCTTTTACGAGCAGCAACAAAGAGGCGAGACGCTGGTGCGCGGGACTTTGCGATTATCTGACTCCGCGCCGTGACGGCGATGGCAATGAGGGTGGAGTTGGGGGGGCAAAAATGCCCTGACAGAGACGAACGGAGGATAGGGAAGTACTCGGGGAAACATTTCGGAATTCCGCGAGTCATCGGGGGGAATAGGAGGTGGCAATTTTTATGGAGTCGACGAAATGTGGGACAAGAGAAATACGAGAAAATTTTCAGGCTTTTGTCGGGAATTTTTTCTTTTTCTTTGTAACAGAAATAGAGGACTTTTTTTGCAGTGCCAACTGCTACTTCAGGCAAGTTTACTTGTGAGCGCGTCGAGATATACTTGTCACAAGTAGTCTTTCTGTTTTTTGGGGTCCCTTTTCTCATTATTATTATGGAAATTTAAGTAAATAAAGCAGGGAGCTGGAGATGAATGTTTTCGTTTAATTTCATGAATTTTAATTAGCGAGGGGTGGGGTGGGAGTGAGATCGTGGTGACGTACTGGGGGTGGCGAAGTATTCCGGGGGAATAGCGCGGAATTCCCCAGGTCATGGAGGGATTAGGAGGAAGATTTTCAGGGGTTGACGGAATTTCGGAAAACAAAAGTACGAGGAAATTGTTTTATTTTCGCGAAGGGGATTTTTTTGTACAGAATATTATTTTTTCTATTACATGCAAGCGGAAAAATTCCGTCTGATTGATTTGATCAAATCAATGTTAAAGAAAACCTCTCCAATGATTTTAACCATTTTTTACAACCAGAAAGTCATTAACGAATCAGTTAATGTCATGAATATTGAATTGACTATAATGTCGTGAACATGTTAAAAAGTCCAAAAATCATTTTCCTAAATTTTTCAGTGAAAACTTAAATGTATTAAATGTGGAATTTTTATTATGAGTTTAAAAATTCCAGTTTTCATTGAAAAATAAGTACTCAACAAAAAATTTACGAGATAAATGAGAAATGTAGACCGTTTTTAATTGAAACCATAACAATGACAATGACATAACAATGACATTTGTTGCAGCCGCGAGTCGGGAGGAGACCTCGTGGCAGACCAGGAAACGTCGCCCTAGCATCACCCCAAGTGCTCGTACCCCCGCAGCTTGAAAAGGGTGAGTCCTAGCATTTAAAATTACCACCGATTAAATCCTGTATTTTTACCTCGACCCGGGATACTTTCACCCCTGCCATATACGAAACGGCGAATTAATTGGCCGTGTAATACGGAGTCAATGTGAGATATTGAAAAAAAGTCCATCGATGAGCGAATGAGATAAGATACTCGGGTCCAGTGAATGGCGGCTATTAATCGTTATCTTCCCAATAGAGGTTTATCCGTACTTCGATTTCCGATAGGGCGTCATGTGATTCACGATACGTTTCATCCCACCCTGTCCGCTTCCGCCTCATAGAGCCAGGGTTTTTCCACAGTTTATCTGGGCGGAACATGAAAGGAGTAATTAATGTCAATATTGCTATTCTCTTTAGCCAACAATTTAAAAGAAATTACCAATTCTGCTCGATTTTTGATTTGATTCAAGTCTCTCGGTCTGGAATAATTACAAAATTATTATTTTTTGATGCATTCCCCTTAAAGTTCGTTTTACTAAACTTATCCCGTGCTTCGAAAATGTCACGGCCAGAATTTTTTTAGAGGTTAAAAAAAATTGATAAACAGTCAGGGCAATTTTTTTATAGTAAATTTTCCTCCGCCCGTATAAATTGGAAAAAAAATCTCCGAAAATGACAACTCTTTTGGCTTAACCGAGTGATTTAGATGGACTTGCCCTGAAGGAGTCGAAAACCTCTCAATCGCTCGTGGTACCCCTAGTTTTTCGCCACTCACACGAATTGGCATCAGGCCAGATTTTATTTCCACGATGTTTTCGGCTACTAGGTCGCGCCAGATCTAGACACTCGTTCCCTATCCCACGACAATAGAAAAGAGAGCGAATTCAACAGATTCCCGACAATTTGACCGAACGAAGAAGGCAAAAAGTCCTAGAAATAAAAGCACGAATGAAGAAGTCATTTCTTAGTGCCCTTTTTTTTTTAATTGAATGAGTTTTAGGAGGTACAAAGAATTGCTTCTGACTCAGCCTCGACTCTCCTTTATCCACTTTTTACCCGAGTTTAGAAGGACGAAGATAAAACGAAGTAATAGAGGAGCGAGACGAAGTCTTTTGTTTGTTGAGACCGGTTTGCAGTTCCTCGAACCATTTATTCAGGCTGGCGCTTTCGTGCTTCTTCTTTTCTCTTTCTTGGCCTACAAGCCCGTCTTCTCATCTTGTACAAGTTCCCGACTCTTCTCCACCATTCCCTCATTTCCCCTCTCTTGCACACCCCTCTTTTTGCCTCAGCAATGGCTCGTTTGCCGTCTCGTGGCAAAAGTAAAAGAGAAAAGGTTGCAAAAAACAAAAAGAAGAAATAAGGAATGAGGGAAAAATAGAAGACAGAGTCGGAATATAATGGCAAAACCGGATGGTCCGGTTTATGAATGAAACTCACGCGTGCCTCTCGAAAATACGACATATAGATTTCGTTGATTGGTGACCTCAGTCATAAAAAAATCCACTCCATCCATAAAAAAAAAATCGATATGATTTTTTGAGTTGATTCGTGCAATTCTATTTGACTGAATCAAATCTATTTTTTTACCTAAAAATGACTTGTCAACTCCCAGCGAAGTTGAATTTTTTTTTTACTTCCACTGCAGACGGTGTTATGCAGTTGGATCTCGTGTGTGACATTTTCCAGTAATTTCATTGGCGCATCTCTTTCTCCTACATCTTCGTGGGTAATAAAGTAGACGGAGCGAGGGAAAGAGTCAAGTTCTTTGAAGTCTACTGCTGTCGGCATAATTTCTCGTCTCTCCGTGTCGTCTTCGGGGCTCTCTTTTCTGGTCTCATGACACTTTTTTTTTTGGTCATCAGTTTTAGGGAGCTTTGAATAAACCCTTTGAATTTTTCTCGAAATTCTGGGCCGCCAGTGAAAGAACTACCGAATATATGAATAATGCGGCGAAATGGGATGTAAATGACTATTTTCTCGGGTAATCGGATTACTTGAAGTCGAAACATATGGAGGAAAAGATATTTCTCGTTATGTCATACTTCCTAAAATGCTTGAAGCGTAACAGAAGTTGAGGGAGACAGTGAAAACAATAACTGTGGAGTTGGACAACTGGCTGGGACCAGGTAGCTGGTCGGCTCTCCCATAAACACAGTCGCTTCTCGTGCACCAGAAACTTGTAGAAACTCGGATAATTATCGTTGGCAAACTGTACGCGTAAAGTTTCTTCGCCAAAGCAGTTCGCGCGCCTCTCGTTCTCCACCGGGTTTTACTTTTTTTTTTTTTTTTATTTCTTTTTTCACTGCAACTGCCGCCGAGAACTCGAAAACGCCGTGTCGTTATCGTGAAAGTTTAATGCCCCGAGGTTGACTGCTCACTTTTACCTTCTTCCCGTGCGACAAATATCAATTGAAATTTACGCGATGAATTGAATGAACCAGGGAAAAGGGGAACAATTGGTATTTCATGGGGATCGTGAGTCTATTTCGAGAGATATTTCAGGTGATTTCGGAAAAAACGGGGACACAATGATAATTTTTTATAAAAATTAATGAATTAGGAAATTTTTCAGTTCAGGGAGAATTCAGGGTGGAAATTCAAAATCGTTTGATAGAGGCTAGTTAACAATTTGATTTAATTTTTAATTGACATGTGGAGTAAATGGTCAAGGAAATTTTCCTGAAAATCCGGAATTCTAGCAATTTTCATCGATGAATTCAGCTAGTGTTTACATTTGTTATCCATTCATATCCGAAGTGTTGTAACTCAAAGTGTGAAATTCTTTCCACAAGTGAAGGTATCCCAAAAATTCCGGTGAATCGACTCTTGACTATTTCATTAACCGAAATTTCATTATAATTTTCTTCTGAATATCCATGATTCCATTAAAAAATCCACATTGATCACTAAATCGTTACATCGTTGATTCCCAAAACTTGAAATTTCATCGGAATTTCCGCAAGTAAAATTCCCTGACACTCTCTCCCCAAGTTCTACAAAAACATTGTAATCTTTCACCCAAATTTTTCTTCAACCCTAAAATTCTCTATAAAAATCTCCAAGGTATCAGTAAAAAAAAGTGCAATGAAAAAACTTAAACATTGCAATAGCGAGTTACAGTATGGGAAGTGGCTGTGTATTCCTCAACTCGATGATAACTTCTGGAGTCTATTCATGTATAGGTGCCATCCAAGTTTGCGGATACGAGGGAATGAGGGACTCACGTCTGAGGTACACAAAGGCTGTGTTACCGCTTATCGTGAAGTTTGTGGCCCTCAGAGAGTGTCGAACTTGCACGAGTTATCGATCCCGTTGGAGTTACTGATGGAATTCCAGTTGCATAAGTTCCCATTGGACTGAGTGAGAAGCTAGGATTTTCCGAGGGGTCCCCAGGACCTGGCCACGTTCGCCACATGTTTTCGAGGGTTTATTAATGACGATTGGAGTCATTAAGCCGATGTGGGTTTCAGTCAAGCGGGTAGAGTCGTTTCTGTGCCTGAGGGGTCTGAGGGTAAACAAGGATTTGTGAAAACATCACTCAATCGAGGGCCGCAGGTGCCAGACACACACTTGTTTTTCTTTATATCTTCCCCTCTGAGACAGGTGGATATTTTGGAAGGTTTTCCCCCCTGGTATTTATTTCTATTTTTTTTCTTCATTCAAACAATTTTTTTTCCACCGTCCGCGCTCTCGGGGAAACGGCGAAAAAGTTGGACGAGATTGAAAGTCCCAGGAAGCCGGGACTAGCGAAGCGCTATCGCTGTGAAAAACTTTCTGACAACTTTTACCCTCCGAAACTCCTTGAGAACTTGCCTCATTTTTCATTCACTTTATTCAACGAAAGTTTATGGGTAGCTGGAGCGAAAAGAATTTGAGGGATTGTGGGAAGGGGAGGGCAATTTCTGAGATGTGGTTTGGGTTTTTGACGTGTGCGGTGTGTCAGGGAATTAAATTGATGTTTGACATGAATATTCAGTGTTCTGTAGAGGATATTGGTCGTTTCGGTTGAAATTCCCGGACTCCCAAAAAATGACTCTTGAAATTTCAAAGGGAAATCGAAATTAACAATGACAAATTTACGGGCGTTTTATCTACATTTTTCTGGTGAAAAAATGAGGTCATTTCTTGAATGTTCAATCAAACGGTAATTTTCAGGTTTATTGGGATTAGAATGAAATCTTAGGCTAGCTGTCTCTCGGTGCTACAGAAAATTAAACGTTTATTCAGTCAATTATCCAATAAATTGAATCCTCTCTCTTCGAATGTAGAACGACTGAGGTATTGCAATTTTTGGTAATTGGTAATTTGGTAATAAATTATCAATACACAATGGATAGGACTTAAAAAATGAATTTTCGGATTTCTCGAATCATATCAGCTTGATATAACATAGATAATGAGAAGTTGAAATTTGATCGATTAGAACAATTCCGAGGTAAAAAATAAACTTCAATGTCGTTGTCCTCAGAATTGGCTGAACTTTTTGAGAAAAATTTCTAAAAAGATTTGAACGAGTTGAAAAGTGGAGTTAATTGCCCTGAAAAATAGTAGTAAATTTACACAGGTGGCTTTCCTCAGTCTCAACTCATGACGAACACCACGGGTTATTACGTATGGAGGTCACTCTCGGTGGGAGATAACTATACATCAACGAAACGTGAGATTGGCTCTCGTGTGTTGAACGGTGATGCAGCAGTTGCTTTGGATATTCGCCAAAAATTCATCTCATTTCTAGAGTTTGTTGCACACATAAACACACTGGGTCTTAACGTTCTATCTTCGTACATCCGGGTCCCAGGGGAGTTGAATCTGCAGAGATGAGAACGTTAACGACCTCGTCTTTATTCGTATTACAAACACACCCAACATTTTTTTCTAATCAATACAGATAGCACTTCCACCAACTTTTCGAAGTCACTAAACAACCAGATAACAAATATTATTCTATAACTACCTGCCACTACTGGTACTTTTTGCAGACATTTTTATTGTCTTGAATTGGCTCAATTAGTAAGGAAAATATATAAATTATGGTTTATTT